AAGAAGTTTGAGTACAACAACAAAAAGATTAATAAAAATCGACAAATGCCATTAAACAGTGGGATATATCCAGCACCCGTATATAGACAGTATACCTAACTTCTGGGAAACTTACTGGACATTGTTCATTCAAAAGATGCCTAAACCTTTGGTTTTTGATTCAGTGGGACTCAGTACTGAAGCTCAGGGATCCTTGATGGGAATGAATGTCACTAGAATGATTTGATTTAGACAAAGCCCAGAAAGATTTGAAAGATTTGAAATAACATACTTTTTGTGAGTAAAGATCATATTAGAATTTGAAAAAATGCATTATATGTCAGATATCAGTGAGTTAGTTTTGCAAAACAAATCACAAAGAAACCATATACTAATGTGCCCATCCTAGAAGATTATACAACTCATTGATATAAACAGATGTAAACCTTTGTTTCAATACATCTGTCCATATGAAATGCAGAGGCTAAATAGATATTAATATGAGGATTGATAAAAAAAATAGTGTTATTGAGTTTAAAATGTGCAAATTGTTGGGATATTTTACTGATCATTTTTAATTGGACTAATTACATAAGTGACACCAAATAGAGCCAAGTAACTTTTTTTCTCTTTAATAGAGGTTTCAGATGATCAATGTACTGATGTTACTTGCTTCCTACAACATCTGATCTACCAAAACATTGCTAGGATGAACTCACACTTACCTACTTTTGTAGCTAAAGACATGCCCTTTTATGGATGTTTCAAAAAGAGAAATAGGGCCCAGTGAGTTGACTGAGTGTCTAAATCCTCATGTTGCACATGCTGAGATCCCAAATTGGGCCGCTTTGCATCCCAGGTACTCTACTTCGCATCCAGCTCCGTTCTTGTGGCCAAGGAAGGCAATAGAGGATGGTGCATGGCCTTGGGATCCTGCAACCTGTGGGAGAACCAGATGAAACTCCTGGCTCCTGGCTCTTGGCTTTGGATCAGCTCAGCTCTGGCTGCTTTGACCACCTGGGGAGTGTACCAGCAGACAAAATATCTTTCTTTCTGACTTTCCTTCTGTCTGTAAATACAACTTTCCAATAAAAATAAGTAAATTTTAAAGATTTATTTTTATTATTTTTTTATTGGAAAGGCAGATATACAGAGAGGAGAGACAGAGAGGAAGATCTTCCGTCGATGATTCACTCCCCAAGTGAGCGTAACGGCCAGTACTATGCCGATCCGAAGCCAGGAGCCTCTTCCGGGTCTCCCACGCGGGTGCAGGGTCCCAAAGCTTTGGGCCGTCCTCGACTGCTTTCCCGGGCCACAGGCAGGGAGCTGGAAGGGAAGCGGGGCTGGCGGGATAGAACCGGCACCCATATGGGATCCTGGGCGTGCAAGGCGAGGACCTTTAACCACTTGCGCCACCGCGCTGGGCCCCAAAAATAAGTAAATTTTAAAAGAGAGAGAGATAATATGGAATTCTGTATGGTTGATAGAATATGCTGGAACAGTACTCGTTACATGAGGATTGTGTGTTCGAAATCTTAGTGAAGTCTTGGAATCATGAGGCCACATCATAACTTCTCTAACCTATTTGAAGCAATACTAACAAACCCATTCAGAATAATTTGGAAGCCCATCAATAGAAGAGTTAAGTTTGCAGCTTTTGAAAAAAATTATCTGTTTCAAAGGCAGAGTTACACAGAGAGGAGAGACAGAAAGCGAAAGTGATCTTCCATCCTTTGGTTTCCTTCCCAAATGGTCACAATAACCCAGGCTCAATAAAACTGAAGCCAGGAGCCAGAAACTTCCGATGGCTCTTCCTCTTGGCTGACTGAGTCCCAGCTGGGACTCAAACCGGCTCCCACTTAGGATGGCAGTGCTGTGGGCCACAACTTAATATGCTGTGACACAACATCGGCCCATAAGTTTATATTAAAAACAACAACAACAACAATTTAAGGCATACTACATTCAGCCGCAAAGGTCAAAACATACCCTTAATGTTACTAGATTTGACCCCTCTGGATAAATACCCATTAAGATAACCCCTACAGCTATTTTTATCTGTAAGCATAATAAGCAATGTATTTCTCTAGTAGTAAATGCCAGTAAACAGGATCTGTTTAGCTTTAAGGCCAAGTTAACTTTTTGCATTTGACTGCTCCTGTAGTGTCCTTTACATTACAACAAATGGATTCTCATTATTATGCATGTTAGTGTTTATAAAAATAAAAAGCATGGAAATTGCCTGGAACATGAACTACATGGGCTGAGCCATTATGTGTTTAATATAGTACTGAAAAGTAGGTTACTAGAATTCAAGGTCTGTTACAACAAAATTGGCCAGCTATTAGAAATGCAGTTATTCAGGGTAAACTGCATACTGATAGGTGGAATGTCAGTATCACACAGGTGGAAGCAACCAGCCTTTCAAGATGTACTGGAACAGGAGAATGGGAAGTCTGAGTTACAGAGACAAAAGAAATAAGACTTCTTCTAGGAAATAATACCGAAGCCATTCTGTGTTCAGATAAAAATACAAGGCAGTCATCAGTCCCTTATAAATACCTAGTTGATGGTGATTTATTTGGACGGAGATGCAGTTTCAATGGTCTAACATATACTTTATTGATTATTCTCTTGTTTGACTTACTAAAATTTCCTGCATATTCTTTGAATCTGGAGATTTTGTTTAGATTCTGTACTCATTCAGCCATCCAGTACACACATATGATCTGATTTATATTATCATACTGCTCAAGACAGTTATAACGCTTCCAGAGGCTCTAACTTACTAATTTGATTAGTGTGATCTTTGCAACTACAGCTAAATTGGGCACCTGTATAGAAAACATATTTTGGGAATTCTACCAGTACATGGGATACTTCTGTATTCTTCATTCACTGGGTAAAGACAGAATGCATAGATAAAATTATTGGAACCCTGTCTAGTCTTCATGAAGCAGCGCATAAGGAACCTATCGCTTTCTCGTCACAGAGCACATGGAGCTGTGTACTTAATACTGATAGCGTTACATTCAGGAGAAGTGGCAGGTCTACAAGAGGAATGCACCTTTTGGCAAAAATTGAGAAAGTCTGTTAGAAAAGTGACCCTTTGTGTTAGGATGAAGACATCAGAATTTTAATAGCTGTAATGAGTTTTGGGGAGACGAATGCTGCTGTGCCGATAACACACTGCTATGGTTTTCTTCCTTTAAACTATCAGATAAGGAATGTGCACATTTTTAAAAGTGCTTTTCAGGCTTCCTGACTTATTGTAGGATAGAGGTTCATGCTGAACCTTTATGTGAATTCTAACCATATTTTAAACAATCAGGTTTTTTTTTTTGAATCTCAGCTTTACACTTCTCATTTAAATGGAATTAAATATTTACTGTTTTGCTTTTACTTGGAGACCCACAATATCAGATATACTGAAATGAACTTTCAGGATAAATTAGATTTGGGGAGATGTATACACATTATGTGTATCTAGCATTTTTTCTGTATAAACAGTATAATGTAATATGCTACATGCCAGGAATTTAACAATAAATAAGGCATGTCTCCTTATTTATAGAAATATCAAGTATAAAGCAAACAGATATGTAAAGATGGTCTCATCTAATGTGCTAAGGATGATTACAAGTACAGATGTTTCTGAATGCTGGCATCCTGAATCAACATTCATGTACAATTGAAAAAAGGTACGTTCAAATACTTATTTTTCTCCAGGCTACATTTTCTTTCTTTTTTATTTCTTTCCTGTTCTCTTCCTCCTCCGTTTTTTTAAGCTGCTCTGTCAGTTTTGTGGGATAGTGCAGTGATGTGAATGTTTGTATTACAGATGTTCATACTGACCAGATGCCATTTCTCTATACAAAGAAAGATGTGTGGTTGCAGCATGCGCTTGAAAAACAATGTATCAAAAACCCGACTCAAATGAAATTAAAAGCAGGTAGTTAAATCATCAGTATTGGGAGTGAGGATCTTGGTTTTGCAATTTGTTACCATTGTGACTTTATGTCAAATTCTTCATAGAACAGACTAAATACCCATATAACAGCATGGTAGAGATTATTAAACAAAATGGCACTCAATGATTCCTCTTTATAATGAGTTAATCAGTAGTACTTATTATTATCATTTAATGACTTAAAAAATAATTTGCCAAGTTCCTTCTCCTGACTTTCAAAATTTTTCAAAGATCACCACTGCTCGATTCATTCATAAGAATCGTGTCATAGATGCAGTGTATAGATATGCTATACTTATAGAATCAAAGTTTTATATTCTTTCTGATACATACAATAGTATACATTTACTCAGCACAGTGTGATGTTTTTATACATGTCTGCTGTATAATATAGAAATCAGGATAAACATCATCTGTTCAAACTTCTATCAACTTGTTATAGTGAAAACTTTCAAAATTCTTCTCGTATTTTTAGAAAAATGTATGTTATGCTTTCATTATCTGTAGTCACCCTGCCATGCAGTAGAATCCCAGAATGCCTTTCTGCTGTCTCACTGTAGCTTAGTAACCTCAATATCATTTTCTTTCCCATTCACTGCTGACTACCATTCTACTCTCAATTCCTATCAAATCAACATTTGTAGCATCAGATGGAACTACGTGGTATTTGTACTTCTGTGCTTAGCTTAATTTCATCTGTTTTGAGATCATGAATATGTTAATGATGAAACCAACCAATCTCCACCCATTTCAGGATTAAAAATCAGAGCTTTGAATGATTCCAGTGCTTTGCCACCTTCCTTTGTGACTTACAGAGCGCATGCCTGCTGAACCTATGCAATGGCTTGCACTTCAGAATGTGCTTGTTCCCACATTCACCCATATAGGCTTTGCTCATAGTTTCCAATTTAATATATGCACACATATGTGAGTATATATGTGTGTGCTCATACATCTATGCATGCATACATGTGTATAAATACATAAATAAGTGAAAATCCTTCCTCTCATGAACATTTCTGATTTGTGTTCCTTTCACAGTGAAGCTGAACTGCTGTATCATTGATGAGGTATGAATAAGATGCTGTTATTAATCTAAACAATGGCACCCTCTGGGTATTAAGAATTTATCAGATCAAGCATTAGAATAAAACTATAAAAAACAAATGATGAAAAACAAAATGAATATTGTTATCTATACTGATGCCTTTTCTCCCAAGTATATCTTTAGAATAAAATGATCCAGAAGTTAAAAAAAAAAAAAACACTTTGTTCTCCAATGTGGAGGATTTGGAACACTGGCTTAATTTCCAATGTGTAAAATCGCCCAAGTGTCAGTGGTGAGGCAATATTACCATAAGAGGAAAGTACCAAAATTTTGATATTGCCCAACCTCCAATTCTCATAGTGATAGCCTAGAACCTCAACAGTCATATCAATAAGATTAATTTATATTTTGGAACCTGACACTTTGAACTCCTTCTGCTTTCTATTTGCTTATCTGCTATAGGAGTTTTAAAACTATTGAACCTATTCCCTTCCAGTGCAAATTACTTTTAAGGGCCTGTCCAACTGTGCTTCTGATTGAGTAGGAATACTATATCCAGAAAGTATTTTATTGCACACACTTATTTATTGTAACAAAGAGATGCACTGGGGAGCTTTGAAATTAGTATCTGTACCTGTTAAGTTCATTTGTTTTCTTTGCTTTTCAAATAAGTGCATTTATATATATATATATGTATTTCTTTGTGATCAACATCTATTAAAAGAAATACTTCAGAGAATTGGGGTTCTGGGAGCAAAGTCCTGGGTCAAGGCTTATGTGGTAATGTAGAGAGCTGCTTGGTTTGGGGACAACAGTGATTTGAAGGGTGCTGAGGCAAGGGAGTTTTATTATCAAGTGAGAGAGTCAGGGGGTGTGTATGATTTTTCTTTGTTGTCTAGCATTTCTCAGTGAGGATGGGCTTTTGCTATAGAAAGTTCTTGGTGAAAAATAAAGTTCAGTTTTAGGAAAGGTACTTTTGTTACTAATGGCAAGGCTTTTATAATCATATGTAGATAATTCTGAGAAGTAACTGGGATTTTGATGCCAGTAAGACACACCTTTTCAAGGAGCTGCTGGTGTGAGCAATTTGTGTAGATTATGTTGAGTGGCTAAAACTAACATTAGTTCTAAAATTATATAGCATCATGTCTCATGCTAAGAGGCCTGTGATAAATTTCAGAATACAGATACTGCTTCTTGGGAAGTGTCTGTGTAAAGGCTTTTGAATTTTAGTAGTCCTAAGAGTAAGTGCAAATGTCCCCGAGTCTTATCACAGATTTGTCAGCTTGTAGTTATTAAAAGTCTTAGATTCATTCATAAAAATCATCCACCAGATAGCATTATATACTTAGTGCTCATTGATTGAATTTGTGTTTTAAAAACTTTGTGAGTAGGTATCTTTTGGGCCCAGGGTCATTGTGGAATGTACTCCACCATCTGAGAAAGCAGTACAGACAGTCCCACTGCCTAATCATGGAACTACAGAAGAATGCTTCCATGCTTCTTCCACTCTCAGCGGCAGGCAGGCATCAAAGAGCTTGTCGGTTGACATTCTTACAGAGCCAAGTTTCCAAGAGTGGCAGTTGTAGGTAACTGCCTCAGTACAAAATGGGCTTAGGGGAAATGATGAAAGGTTCCTGCAAGGAGCATCATAACAGCCTCAGAAGCATGTCTTAGAAACAATCCAGCATTTTTCACACCAAAGTTCTGTCTGTTCATCAGCCCTGTGCAATATAATGCTTTGTTAAATTTTACTACCATGCTCATTGCTAACCTTTGTCTCACCTCTGAAAGTCTCTTCTTATGAGAAAGCAAGGAATTCTTTCCAGCTAAAAGCACAACCCACCTCTATCTGGATTGAGTTTGGAAACGAGACCTATTCGTTACTGGTTCTAGCCATAGGAGGCCTGGGGTTCAATGTGGAAATATTGTCAAGTATAATCCACATTGATGTAGAAGTGGTATGCACATGGTTTGTACAAGTAATAAAGGTCAAAATCAATCAAATTTTCTTCGGTTTAATTAACTTTAACCTAGAATCTCTGAGTTCATTTTCTCTCTCTTTTTCCTGCTACTTAGCCCGAGAAATGCAGACACCTAACATGAGAGTCTCGGTTCAGTATTATTTGGATGCCAGTTGATCAGTGTTAGAGGCTAAGTATGTTGCTGTTGTTTGGGAGGCACTGCTTACATTTATGAGTTTGAGCTGTCAAAGTCGTGGGCAATCATGGATGCATTTGAGGAGTTTAGGAAGGCTGATGTAATCTTTTCCTGTGGTACATCCAGAGAAATTCCTGAGGCCTTGGTAATCTCATCTCCCTGGCACAGACCCCCTGCTCTTAGGAAAATCTTCATTGCTGGCCTCTTGGAGAAGCTAAAGTTACCCGCATCCCAACCCTACTCACTTCCAAGGGGATGGCTGAGATAATACAATGAAGATCAAAGGTAATTGGAAATCGATATGTCTAGTGAAATGAGCCAGTCCATAAATGAATATCATAGTTTCCCTGATCTGTGGTAACAACTAATACACAAAGTACCAAAGGATGCAATCTGTATAAGAGAAATTGATGTGATATTTTGAGATTTGATTATTAGCTACAACCTTTGTGTATTTTTTGAGTATTTTCTACTTGCTCATGGCTATAATGTAAACTGGCAATATGTCCTTGTAAAATTTTTAAAAATCTTAATAAGGCAGGAGGAGGATGAGTGAAACACAGACAGGTAGGAGGGTAGGGTAGAAAGGATCACTTTGTGAGTGAAATAAATTTGTCACCTTATATAAATAAAATGACTTAAGCTAAGAGATCAAAGGTAAATACCAATCACATTTCAAAGTTGGTTTTCCTCTTGGCATACTTTAGATTTGCTTATTGTCACTTAGTAGAAATTTTATAGTGTTGCATTATTCTACATTTTTTTTAAATTTAATAGATGCAAAGAAATACATAGTTAACTAAAAAAAAAAAACATATTTTACAGTCTTGCCTAATAGAAAATAGAGAATTTGGGCATGTCCTCTGCTTTGCATGTTATCTGTAGATTATCAGGTTTACTTTATTCATCTGTAAGGTTGTATCTCAGTCATGAGTGTATTAGCTATAAAGTGAGGATGTTAAGCCTGAATAAATTCTAGATCTCTTCCATCGGTTGAAATCTTCATGTTTCTGTTCAGGTCACTATTAACGGACCAAAGGCTGGCAGGCCACACAGGCATTTGCCTTTCTCTGAATACCATTACATGTCTTCTCTTAAACTTTTCCACCTCTAGGCTGGATGTTCCAGTCTGTACTTTATTTTGTGTCTTTCTCATAGGGTAGTTTCTGCAGTGGAACCTCTGAGTGTACTTGGGAGGAAAATTGCTGCTGGAGCTGACAGCACAAGGAGCATTTTGTAAATCACTCACGTGGAGAGCAATACAAGACCCATGAATAAACGGCAAAGCTAACAAATAAATATAACTGAAACCTTTGATGTTTTTCTCATTTAATTTCATTTTGCTTATCTTTTTTATTTTCCTTGCTGCTTTAACATAAAGACGTTCAAAATGTAGAGGGATCCTTAGCCTGATGGATCATAATTGTTTGAATCCACAAACAAGTATTTTCTAATAAAATGTGACACATTTCCTTCCAGAACTACTGCTTATTATCAAAATAAACCCTCATCAAGACAATAAAATCACAGGGACAGTGTGCTGGAGAGTTAGCCTGGAGTCAGCTTCACCTTTGCTTTGGAACCAGGAGAAACAGGACAGTCCAGTTCTTCGACTTCATGAATTATTTACATAGAAGACTGTCTTGCTAGAACATGTCTCCTGTTCCCGTCTTCCACTGTTATGATTATACTCGAGAACAAAGGCTTCACAACCCAGATAGTTTCAGCATCACTGAAAAAATGAAGGTGTCACCATACGGGTAGCATTTATGCATGGTTGATCAAGTATTAATACTTCAGAGTCCTCAATTTTCCCATGGACCAGTCATATCACAGATTTTCTCTTCGAGCTGAATACATTGAACCAAACACGTCCAATCAGAGAAACATCTAAATCATTAGATCCCTGCTGGTAAGCACATTGTCTTTAGTCACAGATGACTTGAGTTTATGTTCCTTACCCAGATTCTGTCCTGTCCTTTGTATCAGCTCAGAAACCACTATCTCCTTGGTCACTGCAACTTGCTGCACAAAAGGCCTTTCAGCCAGTGTAAATAATGCTTTTCAACACTTAGATTATAGGTTCTCTTGTGAAAAGTTGATAATCACTTTAAAATCCTGTCCATCTAGTTACTGTGTGGACTATATTCACATTTTCTCTGGTCCAAATACATATTTCTGTATTGCTTAACTAAGAAGGAATGTAAAAGGAGAAAAATAATTTAACTTACTATTTTGTGTAGCTTATTCATTCGTCTGTTCCTTCTGTCTTTTCTAAAGATCTGATTTTTACTGGAAAGGCAAATCAGATTTATGGAAAGAAAGAGAGACAGAAAGATATTCTGTCCATTGGTTCACTTCCACAAATGGCTACTACAGTGAGCCAATCTGAATCCAGGAGCTGCTTCTGGATCTCCCACATGGGTGCATGGTCCCAAGGCTTTGGGCCATCTTTTGACAACTTTCCCATTCCATAAGCAGGGATCTGGATGGGAAATGGAACCAGCAGGACATGAATCCACTCCCATATGGGATCACAGAGTGTGTAAGATATTAGCCATTGAGCCATCGTGCTGGGCCCTCATTCATCTTTTTAAACAAATAGTATTTGACCTTTCTTTAACACAGGCACTTTTCCAGTCCTTGACGACTTAGTGATACATAGGAATGAGAATTCCTTTAATGATGGTGATTACATTCCAGTTGGAGCTTCATAGGTTTCCTTATTGTTTTTAGTTCTTCAAGTATGTTAATACTGATTGACTTGTAGATATAATAATTTGGAAGGATATTAATGGACTTTGATTATGCAGAAGTAAATGGCTGGTGACCCAAATTGTCATTTTTTTTTTATAATTACAATCATGCATATACACAGTGTATGTGTGTGTTTTTGAATCTCTGCTTAAAAAGAAATGAACCATGTGGTATGTGTTGTTAGTCATATTCACAGGGGTATGGATGCAGCTGAGAATTTTCCACTGTCATAGAGTTATAATTTATTTCACTGGTATATATGGTAAGTATCTACATGTATTAATAAGAAAGAGAGCCATTAAAGATTATATGAGTAATTGGAAGTAAGAAAACAGTGGCCTATAATTAATTAGCAAAGTGGAATGTAGCCAGCAGGAATGCCAAAAGAGAAGTCTTATAATAGAAATCTAGTTTGTATAATATTTTCCTTCATTGAATAACTGGTGGATCCATTGATATATTTACTATCTCAAAGGAAAGATGCTCATCAGAATGTAGGTCATATTCAGATACTAAGTAAATTTATTTAAATTTAAAAGAAAAGGAAAAAATTGGCAGCGTATTTAAAAAAAATAATGCCTGTTATTCCTTCTGAGAATGTCAACTGGACAATGAGACTATAAAACATCCACTCTCTGAACTTGGATATTCAGCAAATATGCTCAAATAGATTCATGCTCAAAGTATCTTCCTTGAGCTAAAGACCGATTGGAATCACATTTATACATGAATTTTAGCATTAACTGCAGAATCCTGCATTTACTTAGCTTGCCTGCAGAAAAAAAAATGTGCAAATCGTAATATTGGAGGGAAAGGAATTTCTGGATTTTATATGCATAGAGGCCAATTATTTAAAGGTGAATTTTTTAAATATATTTTTAATTTTGAATTTTGAATTGTGGTACAATTTTGTATAGTCTGGGATTACCGCCCCCGCAAACTCCCACCTTTCGTCAGATTTTTCCCATTTTGTTACAATAGTGTAGTCCTTTGAAAGGAATCATAATTCGATCAGTCTCTTATTTAAGTCTACCCTTGCATTGTTGGTACAGACAATGTCAGACAGTCCAGCATCCCATTGTCTACACATGTCCAACAGTTTCACTGGGAATCCGTCTTTCATCTGGATGCTGGGATGCATGTTACATTATACCCCCACGTCTGTACATGACAGACCCCAGTACTCCATCACTATATATTACCATAAGTGAGAAGCCATGTAACAAGGTCGACAACCGGTATGAGTTAGAACAGCCACAACAACAGCAACAATAAATTACAGCATAAAGGTGAAATATTTAAACACCACAGAGGTCTTTGAGTGAGTTGGCTGTTTCAGAATGCTTCCTTTCCTTAAGCTCTCAGCTGTGATGCAAACCCTGCTTTAACTGCACAGAGGTAAAATTCTGCATTCCCAAGTGGTATAACTTTAGATGTGAACTAAGATAGAAGAGTTGTCTGAAATAGGTTATGTAATGGATATGGTTATGGTTCTTATTCTTCTAAAATTCTGTATGCTTTTAGGGAAGGATATTCATCAAAGTGGGTGCAATAACTTTCTACACACGATCCCAAGAAGAGAAGCAAATAGGTTAGTCAAATTCAGTCATATTATAGATGAAAGCACTGGTGGCTGTGATAGTCATTCTGGCTGTACCATGTGAAGATTAGGATGGGAATGACAGCAAGTCAAATGTAATGCTAGCAAAATTGAAGTTGATGACCACATTACTCAACTCATCCATGATACTCAATAAGAAGAACCATGCAGTTCAAATAGGGAAGCCACAGCTTCTGATGCTTCCTAATTATTTCTCTTTTTTCCATCTATTTCTATTCTGCAACTTAAATTCATTCAACGAGAGGAAGAGGTTTCTTTAGCACGCAAGAGTCAGGGCCAGTGTGGTAACCTAGTGGCTGAAGTCCCCACCTTGTATGTGCTGGAATGCCATATAGGCAATAGTTCTCCTCCTGGCGACCCCACTTCCAGTTCAGCTCCCAGTTAATGGCCTGGGAAAACAGTCAAGGAGAGCACAAAACCTTGGGATCCTGCACCTGCTTGGGTGACCCAGAAGAGGTTTCTGGTTCCTGGCTTCAGACGGGCTCAGTTCTGGTCATTGCGGCCACATGGGGAGTGAATCAGCAGATGGAAGATCTGTTTCTCTGTTTTTCCTTCACTCTGTAAATGTTACTTTCCAATAAGAATAAGTATTTAAAAAGATGAAAGAGGCAATTTCAAAGTGTAAAGCATAATAAAATGGTGAAATTCCAGTAATTTTCCCCTGAAATTTTACAAGGCCTTGGGAAATAGGAGAGATTGTGAACGTAAGTGCAAAATATGGCGAAAGTGTAGTTTCTACTCCAAAATGTTGGTATGGAGTTTCAATTTTGATGTGCCTAGGCACTGACAGAGTTGTGTCAAGGAGGAAATTTGCTCCCTAGTCATGAATCGAAATATAAGCTGAAATAATATCAGAACAAATTATATTTTTTTCAGAGTTGATGAACAGGGAAAAACAAGGTGCTTATAATTGCAGTCAGTAGGGTTGCACTTGTATTCCAAACAAGGGGGAACTTGAAATGAAGGACAGGGATCATTTGGGGGTGGGGAGGAAGTAAGTCCTGCGAGTTTGGTGCTTAGGCGACTGAGACACTCCACATGCAGTCATTAACTGATACTGTGGCCAGATATCTTGCTCTGGATTATATCCTATGGAATATCATATAGTTCAGTATGTTGTTTGTTACTTTGATATTTGCGCTAAATACATGCAGACATATTTTGTACATTTTTATAATGTTTTCCATTCTTGCATTTACTTTTTTGTTCATTCTGGTGTTTTTTTTTTCTCTGTTAAACCTGGCCCCTAACCTTCCTTCACACTCAATCCTGTATCAGCTATTTATATCATTGCAGAATTTTCTCATACTGTCTGCCTGGAATGCCTCTATTAGCTCTTTCATCTGGCAACCTCATATTTGAAGTTTTCCCTGGTTGATTAAGTTAGGAAAGGGTTGCCTTCCTACTGTGCTATCCTAGCTCTTTGTAAATGTCTCTGTCAGCAGTTACCATGATTGGCTGAAATCTCCTATGAACATTCACAATCATGTTTCTTTAACTAGACTCTAAGGACCATCTCAACAATGCTTGGTTCAATGTGTAATATATGATAGATTCCTTTTTAAAAAAAATGATATGTTTATTTTTATCAGAAAGGCAGATCAGATTTACAGAAAGAAGGAGATACAGAAAGATCTTCCATCTCCTGATCCACTCCCCAAATGGCCATAATAGTTGGAGCCAAGCTGAGCCGAAGCCAGAAGCCAGGAGCTTCCTTCAGGTCTCTCGCGCAGGTGGAAGGTCCCAAGGCTTTGGGGCATCCTCTACTGCTTTGCTGGGCCACAAACAGGGAGCTAGATTGGAAGTGGAGCAACAAGGACATACACTGGTCCGCATATGGTATGTTGGCACTTGTAAACTGATGCCTTATCCATTGAGCCATCAGGCCAAGCCCTATACAGTAGTCTTAAACAAAATTAAATGTTTACAAGCCAAAGGTTAAATGTCCACTGAGTAGAAGAGTGAGAGTACAAGAAAGACTGGTTGTATGACAGTGCTAGAACTATTTTGATTAACATAATTATTAGCTGAACTCACTTAGCAGCATGGGTAATTCATCATTAAAAATTATATGATTTTTCAATTATGTAATCTGCTTAGAAAAATTGAGGATGAAACAGCAAATCAGCGCTTGAGACTAGGAAGAAGCCTTCAGTTCCTTGATGTTTAAATACGTATAAACCTAAGTCAAAAGACAAAAATGTAAAATCAAAGAATAGAAGTGGCCTAGAAAGCATTGAACCAAACTTGCAGAGAGAATGCTGATAAACTTGGATATTGGCAGAGGGTCAAGATATAAGTCTCTAAACCCCTCGTTCTGGGCACTTTTCTCTGGTCTCAATGCTATAACAACTCCAGTTCAAATGCTTATACATCCAGCACAGAATACAGATAGTGCATTTCTCTTCTGTGTTTGCTCTCACTGAATAATTTTCAACGGTTCTTTCAATTGCTTTTTTTGATGGCGTGCTGTGCTCTGCTGGGTTCACCCTTGCAGAGGACATCTGGTCACATAACAAAGAAAATGATTCAGGAGTCATTCCAGTATCCCTTCAGTCAGTTAGTCCACAGATTATTTATTGAGCACTTGCGGAAGTGACCAACACAGAGCTAGTATGATAGAGCTGGCTGCTCTGAAACTGAATGTATCAATTAAATAGTACTTTACAGGATTTTGACTTGGCAAACCTCAACTAACAGTATTTTTCAAGGTTACTGTGAAGCCAGTGATGGAACCCTCACTCAGTAATTAACTTTATATGGAATCATGCCTTTTGGCCTGATATTCCACATCAGCTTTAAAGTTGTCAGAGAGAAAGCATCCAGAATTAAATTCTGTCCTCAGCTGTTCAATGGCCATGTCCATCTGGCCTTTACATGATGGTGACTGAATACCCAAATGGTAATAGAATGAAGGCATTCCTTTAAATACTGAGATTGGAATGATTCATTAAACATTGGATTAGGAGCTAGGAATATGGTTGCAGTGAGAATGACCATTGGGGTTTATGACCATTTGGGCTAATACTTTTCCACTCAAATAACCTAACTTCTGAGATTCAGGCCTCAGTTGAAATGTAAGAAGTGGGTTAGACCTTTTTGAAAAGGAGATTTTCAATAATTTAGCCCATTAAGTTGTAATGCTTAGCATACTTGGCCTTTATGAGCAACTGGTACGTGAGGGATGGTTGAGGTTAGAGGATAAAGAGGCATGACCACACAGCAAACCTCAGGCAATTTTACAGTCTGAATAATTCTTGGGTTCACCACAGTGGTGGTTCAACATGGGCTTTCAAATTTGTGTATGAATGCTTCCTTCCCACTGAGTGGGCAAGTTTGGAGTATAAAGTATCTTCAAAGAGAGTTATCACCTACTCAGCTAAATTTGAACAGATAAAGTTTCTATTCTACATATGCTCACAATACTGCCTGGAACACACTTATATTAAGAAATTGTGTGTATTCAAAATTCAAACTTATCTGAGGATTCTACAGTTTTATTAACTCTGACAAGATAATTTTATTAACTCTGACAGACATAAGATGTGTCAATTACATGAGGGGCAAGACGGAGGTTGAGGTTTTACTGTAAGACTTTCTGTGGAATGCAGGTTGTCTAGCTATGTGAATCACTCATATGCTTCTGACAGTGGAAGCTTAGCAAGGTCAAAGTGTGGCTAGTCCATTGATGTCTGAATTAAGCATTAGGGGCAGTGTTGAGTGCTGATTCCAACATGAATCGGGTGTCTGGTAACAAGAGCTGGTTTTGTGACTTTGGTCAAGTTTCTTAAACTTCCTGCTTTCAGTTTGTTCAGCTAAAAGTTTTAACTATTATTATTTAGCAGAATGTGATTGCAAGATCTAACCAAATAAAGATTGCGTAAATTTGCTGTTAAAGAGAAGCTGATAAATTTTGATATGTTTTTACGTATTTCATAAATTAACAGTAAACTTCTTAGAAGTAACTTTAACATAGTCACTTCTTTTGAATTAATTCAGAGCAAAAAGATGCTTCACTTAATTATATGTTCCTTAGTATTTATTTGTTTAGTCAAATGATAATGGTGATTGGAGATTCTAGGTTATGCAAGTGTTGTCAGCTTCCATAATATCACATTAGAAGAATGAAAATTATCCATGAAATAGATCTATGAGAAAGAATTTTTTTTTCAGAATAATGTATTTTTCATGATACACTTCCATAGGTTCAGTGATTTTTTTTTCTTTCACCCTCCCAGTTCTTCCTACCCCACAATGTTTTCCCCAGTGTTATTACAGTAGTATAGCCTTTCAGCAACAGTCAGAAGCTCATCATTCTGCCTTTTAAGTGTATCATGACATTGTAGCTAAGGACAATGTTACAAAGCCCAGCAGCCTATTGTTAAGATATATTGAACAGTTTCATTTGAGAGTCCTTCTTTTATTTGAGATTATAGATGCATACTGCATTGTATCTTCTCAGTATGTCTCCATTACACAGTTCCTCCTAATGAATATATGTATATGTGTGTGTGTGTATATATCTGTTGATTTTGTTTTTTGCATGAAGGTTGTCATATGTTGGAGAGAACATGTGATGTTTGCCCTTTTGGGATTTACTTATTCATTTGAGCATAATGGTATCCAGTTCAGACCATTTTATTGCAAGTGGTATAATTTCATTATTTTTAATAACAGAATAATATTCCATGGAGTAGATGTACCACAGTTTCTTTACCACTCCTCTTTGAATGAGCATCTGGGTTGTTTCCAAGCCTTCACTATTGTAGATTGTGCTGCTGTAAATTTAGGAGTACAGGTCACTTTCTCACATGCAAGTTTCATTTCCTTTGGATATGTTCCCAGAACTGGTATAGCTGGGTCATATGGCAGGTTTATTTTCAGTTCTGTTAGCACATCTGACTTCCATCGTGGTTGCACTAGCCTGCATTTCCAGCAACAGTTGAGTATGGTATGTCTTTTCCCATACATGCCAGCTGGTGTTGTTAGTAGATTTCCAAATGAAGACAAATCTCACTGAAGTTAGGTAGAACATCACAGTGGCATTATTTGTATTTGCTTGATAGCTAATGAGCCTGAGCATTTTTTCATGTATCTTTTAGCTTTTTGAATTTATTCTTTTGAAAATTGACTTTATTTCCTTCACCCATTTCTTCATGGAATAGTTTGTTTTACTATCATTGAGTTTCTGATGCTTTTTATAACTCCTGGATATTAGTTCCCTAACAGTTGGGTAGTGTGTAAAGATTTTTTCTCCCATTTTATTGGTTGCTTCTTCACTTTTAAACTTAACTTACACATAAATAAAGGAAACCAATGACTGAGTACCTCCAGGTGGTCCAGGTAAAGCCGAAATTTACTGCACATGTTATAAAAATGGCAGTTATCTTCCTAAGTGTACCATAGCTATAAAGTCAATGAAAGATAAACAAAAATAAAATGTATAACAATGAGTTCATGAGTTTTTAATGAACGATGTGGGCTAAAATTTTGCTGAGGAAGAAAACTGTAGACATTTTAGATAATGTCACAAGTCTGATTCAATACATTATGCCATTACACTGAAAAGCATAAATGTAATTTAGAATTGCCTTGCTCCATGAAAGAAAATTCATTTTATTCTATCTTGTGTTTTTTATAATGAGCTAGACATGGTGGATTTTTTCAGCTTCAATTGAAACATAAATTTCATTTACATATAAATTAAATTATATCTAGTTATGGAGCAATTACCACTTGACACAAGCAAAAAATATATTTCACAGGCTTTAGGAAAGATAATTTGGAAGATCTTGGCATGGAAGGCCCACTGGCCATGTTGACTTTTTTGAGAGCATGTCACCTTTTGATGCCTCCTCAGGAGAACTTTATGCATTCTTTTTTTTAAAGATCCACTTTACTCATTTCAATGATGAATGACAAAGAAAAACAGAGTGATGGAGGAGGACAAGACACATTCACATTCAGAAGGGGAAAGAGAGAGAGGGGAGAGTTGTTGGGGGATTTCCTGTCACTGACCTAGCTCATCAAAAACTGCAACACTGACAGTGATGCAGGCTTCCCAAAACCAGGGAACTCCATCTGGGTCTCCTATATGAGTCACAGGGACCAGAGCTTCGGACCATTATGCAATGCTTTCCTAGGCACACTAAGAAAAAGCAGGATTTGAAGCAGAGTAGTCACTTCGGTCTGTACCACACACTGCTTTCTGAGGCACATTAGCAAGAAGCAGGATTTGAGGCACACTAGTTGTGGCTGAATCTCTGCTCTGCTGTGTGATGCAGGTGTCCCATGTGGCAGCTTGTTCAGCTGTGCCACAATCCCCTCTATCAACGTCAACTCTTCACACATATTTTCATGTACACTACTTGCAAAGGAATCCTTAGCATCTTTGAGGACCATGTGCAAATACAGAAAACTCTAGGCATGGCTTTTGTGGCTTCTCTTCCAAGATAGCTCTTGTTCTCTGGTACTACTTTTATGCCATTGTACAAAAATAGGTATTGTATATTTTCCCTGGTCTGTGATAACTGACACACAGGGTACAAAAAGTGTTATTTCCGTGAGTAAGAATGTGATGCCAGGATTTGATCAATATTTATAGCCTTTGTTTATGCTTCTATGGGATAGTTTATTTTTTATTTTCTGCCTCTTTGTGTTTGTATATTTACATAATGCAGTGATAAGTTTGTGAATGTGAAATGAAATGAAAGTATGTCATTAGAAAAGTTAGGAAAGAAAAGGAATAAGAGGATAGGAAACAGGCTGGATGGGACGAATCACCACTGTGGCCCTAAATCCATATTGTATGTAAAAATTGTTCCTTTTATATAATAATATTAAAAACAAAACAAAACAAAACAAAAAAGAAATAGAGATGGGGAAAGGGAGATTTTAACATTGCAGAGGTTAGTTTAAAGGTAAGCTCATTTTGATCACTAGAGGCCCAGTTGCTGGGATTGAGAAGTTAGAAGGGGACACATCTGAGGATGCTGTGTTTGATGACAGGGTGTCCCACAGAAACGCCCACTGAATGCAGAATTCTAGAACCTCATCTTTTCAGGTCCTTTAAAGTATGCCTTATACCAGGACTGTGTTCTCTTTAGTTTATATCAAACTTAATTTTAATTCTTTATCTAAGAGTTAGTTTGCTTCAACTCTGCTTTTGAAAACTAAGAACACAATATAAATGTAAAAATAATTTTCTCAACCCTTGAACAAAAAATTTAACAAGAGGGAAAAATGAATAGTTAATGAATTACATGGCTGTTTATGAGTTATGTTATTTAGAATGGAGTTAAAATATTTTAAAGGATTATGATATATAGGTAAGTAAACATGGTAATCTGATATTTAGTTTTATGATGATTCATAGATAAATATATATATGGGAGATATACATATCTCCCTTACCACATATTACTGGGAAATTTGGACCATCTTATAGTTTTATATGCTTTTTTTATACTTCACAAGTAAGCATTCATTAGTTCCTTATGCAAGATTTTTGAATTGTGTGAACTATATTTTTTTGAAATTTATTTTATTAGTACGATGGGAACAGGTTTCATATATTTCACAATACAGTTTTAGGAATGTGGTGATAATGCTCCCCCACCCCACATTCTGCCTGACCTTGGTCCCAATCCAGCCTTCTTCATTTCTCTTTTCCTCCAAATTTTGACGATGTCATAGTTACAGTTGACTTCCCAATCACAGGCTTGACACTCCATTAGGTAAAGAATTCAGATCTACAAAGTAGGGAAAGTACTCTTTCCTCGAGGCTATACACAGTAAGCAATTCTCAGTAAGTCGATCTCTCCCATAGATTACATTTTTGTACTCTGTGTATTAGTTATTATAGAGGACAGAAGAGGGAAAGCATAATGTGTATCACATGGTAGGTCTATTTTCTGACATCTGGGAAATCCCCAAGCTGCCCTCCTACATGGTCGTACTAGCTTACACTTCCATCAGCAGTGCATATGGTGCCTTTCCCACCACGTGCTCACCAGCATTTGGTGTTTTTCTGTTTTCAGATGGTGACCATTCTAAACACTGTAAGGTGAAGAAGCTTCACTGTGGTTTTTGTTTGCATTTTTCTGATGGCTGGCAAACCTGAGCCTTTGTTCATGTATCTGTTGGCCATTTCCTTCAAAAATGGCCTTTTATGTGCCCATTGTCCAAATCTTAACTGGCTTTGTTGTTTCATATTTGAATTTCTTGAGTTCTTCATGGATCCTGGATATCAGTCCT